TTTAAACATTTATCATTTCCACATTGCGAGCTAATTAAAATGGCATTTCCAGTTTTTCGCTAATTATCAAAATTCGATTGTGTTCCTCTCCACGGTAGTAGGTCAACAGCGCCATACAAACTGCATATGTTAACACATAGAAAACTTCTGGCCCCCGTCCTCTTCCAGTCTCCTAACCAGGCGTATTCATTGTTTATATCTCTAAAATTTCTGAAACAGTTTAAAAAGGAAGTCAGAGGGGGCACTGAAACTGCATAGGTGGAGGACAGAGTTTTTAAAGAAATCGAATTCTGGAAAAGTGCAGGACAGACGAAAAAGAAAGCTACATATCCGAATAGGTTTGTTTGGATATTTGGTGAAATTTGGCGGATTCGGGCTGAAGGCAAGCACTTCATACAGGCAAATATGGCTTAAGTACTGTTGACCGGCTATGTTTTAGCGGCATCTCGAACTCAACTTGATTGTTTTTAAGCGGTTTCAGTGCTCTAGAAAGTTCATTAAATGAGATTTTGTTTTGGCAAGCTTACCGTCACTACTAGTTTTACTGTTCCAAGCATTTTCATTTGAATCTTCCGTGCGTCGTTTCTACTTATTTTAAAAGCTTGTCGACCGCTCTTGCTGATTTTTTGCATCTTTTTAGAACATGCTAGCGGTCATTTTGGGGCACATCAGAAGAAAAACACACTGATGAAATAAATCGTACTGCTAACCTGCAAGTGGTTCTACCATTTCCAAACTCCTGTTTCTCATTCCTGGACCAACGGCCGTCTGTTCACAATAAATTTTTATGTCTCGGCTGCTTCCGTGCCCTCTATGTCGCCCTTATTCTTGCGCTTCCCTTAATCCGTTCCCCGCTGCTCCTCTCTTCCAGTGTCTTTCCGCCCATCCCGGTTTTGCTAGTTAGTCCGTGTGAACTGCTGCGGAATCACCATCTCTTTGGGCCAGTTATCGTCCGCTGCCCTTGCATCTTCTCTACACCCAGAAGGATTGACGGTTTATTTCGCATTTTTGTTCAGTGATGTGTTACGCTGTCCGATGTCACTTTTGCCGACATACTGCTCTTCGCGCATTTTTTTAGAGGGTTCGGCTGTACGGAGTTACCATTTATACGAGTGTCGCCTACAGCTTGCTTGCTGCCCGCTTCCCGGAACTTGTTTCATTCCTGGGAATTTTGTTGTATATTACATTTCTGTGTTGTCCCAAGAAAAGCTTACTTTAAAAGAAATTTAGCTCTGTTAGAATTAGAAGGAAATATTTACCTGTGGAACCAAAAAAAAAAAAAACTGCCCCATTCTGAATGCGAAATCAGTTGATTGTGAAATTTGGGATATGATTTCAGCAACTTTTTTTCCTCTTTAAATGTCCTCTCTTTTTTCGTAGCTAAAAGTAAACTAGTATGGGGGAATAACGATGAGGGCAGGGGGAAGGAAAAAGTCAAAAATATCAATTTTTTGTTGAAGCACATTGCGATGAAAGCAAATTTTGACTTTTTGGCGTGAAACGGCTACAGGCTCATCAGTGATTTAGCCTTTCGTAATTTTCAGCGGAAAATGAAGAAAATGTTTAATTTTGCCTGAATTCCAAAAAAAAAGTTCTCTTCCGAAATTACTGCCTTCCATAATCTCATTTCCTTTTTTTTACGGTTTTGTTGCTAATTTCGATGAGTGCGTCTGGAAAAGCGGTATGTCGACATTTTTGGCACCTCAGTTCAGTTTGTGTTTCCGCTCACTGCTGCCGTTATTTTTCGTGCTATGAACTTATTGAGTTTAATGAGTTTGCTGTAATTTTTACAAAACCATATCTTTCACTGTTGGGCTCTTTTTTTTTCAAATTTGTTCGTGTATCCTTTTTTCCTTTGTTGCTGAGATTAGTGCGAATGCACTGGCTCTTTCGACTGATGCAGTTTTGTGTGTCTGTACTGTACATCCACGTGTATGATGCCATGGTTCCTTTCGCCCCCCCCCCCCCCCCCCCCCCCCC